TCATTTTTCCTTTAACACAACAGTGAAAAAATACCATCTGTCCCTAGCAATATAATTGTCCTTTAAGTTGTCCTTTCTTGCAGGTAGTTTTTTGTTATGTGGCACATTTTCTAATCATCTAGCTGTCCACATTACATTTTGAGAGTGAAACTGCACTTTTTCCATATACTTTTGAGTTCTGTATTCTTAAATTAATTCATGCTACTGTGTGTATTCACTGTGACTACTGTACTACTCTCTTTTCAAAATCCCTTGGGTATTTATCGGGTATTTATAAAGGAAGGACAGATAATATGCCTCAGGAACTAAAGCTATGTAGCAGCTCCGGAAACCATATCTCTTTCTCACAAAACTCCAAAACACTTACAATGAATCACACATCCATGAGCTATCAGTCTGTTAGTCTCCTTCTCCCTGAGCTGCAGCACATCCCTGAGGCTCTGTTCTCTGCCAGAGAAGCTGAGGTTGATGACTGATTGGAAAGCTCTGCTTCCTAGTTGTACAGATCACCTGACCAATTATCTTCCTGCCATAAATCATGTCATTGAGGACACACTGTTGCTGTATTTCCACAGATAGAGTGTCCAAGCCTCAGGTGTCCACAGTGTCCCAGGTCAGTGAGAGCTGCTCTCTGCCGTGCTCTGTGAGTAATGGGAGAGAGGTGACCCTGTCCTGGCAGAGAGACAGGACGATACTCGACCACACCAGCAACCCTGATCTCAACACCCCCCTGACTCTCCCTCTGGAGACAGAAGGTCTCTCTCACTCCTACAGCTGTGTGGCCTCTAACCCAGTCAGCAATGAGACAGTCTCTCTGCAGAACTGCAAAGAGACAGGTAAGCAAATGTGTTAGTGTAGTGCTGCTATTATCTTAAATTACTGTGCCTTTGTATGTGTACCATTGTAAGCTGGTTTTCAGTCATCCAGCAATCAGTATATCTGTCTCTCTCAGTGCAGTGTTAATGTACTGTAGTGTCCAGTCAGTGTGTCTGTGCTGTATTAACCCCTCTCTCTCAGTGCAGTGTTAATGTCCTGTAGTGTCCAGT